TAATATACTTTGACTTTTGTAAGGCTTTTGACTTGGTAATGCACAACATTCTGATTTAAAGATTAGCACTGTACAATACCAATAAAGCACACGATCAACGGATTAAGAACTGGCTAACTGACAGATCTCTAAAAGTAGTTGTTAATGGGGATTCATCATTGAATGGGGGTGTTTCTAGTGGGGTTATGCAAGGATCAGTACCAGGCCCAATGCCATTCAATATTTTACCAGTGGCCTAGAGGTAAATATAAAATGACTGCTGACAAAGATTAGCAGAGTGGTAATAATGATACAGGACAGTACAGAACAATCTGGCTCCATAATTTAGCAAGAACTAATGGCTAGAAGTTAAAGCCAGAAAAAATCATGTTGGAAATAAGGCAGACATTTTTAATAGTGAGAGTGATTAACCATTGGGACAAACTACTAAGGAAGTAGTGGATTCTCCATCTCTGGCTATCCTCCCATCAAGCATGGATTCCTTTCTGAGAGTATACTTTAGTCAATACAAGTTATTGGGCTCACTACAGGAGTAACTAGGTTCTATAGCCTCTGTTACAGAGTCAGACTAGATCAGTGGTTTTCAACTTGTGGTCCGCTGACCCTTGTGGGGTCCGCACACTATGTCTAAGATTTACAAAGGGGTCTGCACCTCCATTTGAAATTTTTAGGGGTCTGTAAATGAAAAAGGTTGAAAACCACTGGACTAAATGATCTAATGGGTCTTTCTGGCCTTAAAAGCTATGGGAGGGAAATGAATCTATGGAAGCTTGAGAGAGAACTACATAAAAATTCTCTTTCTGCTATTATTCCAGTGGGCATAGTTTTCACTCAGACAGGTTTCTGAGTCACAAATAATGCAAGCTAAGACAAGAGTTAAATTCTTGAAATACCAGCATAGAAAATGTGTAGTTATATTTTTCTTTACAGAACTAAATTTAAAATTACTAGGGCCCTGAGTTTCTTTTCTCAGACATCATTTTGGAGACACAGAGTTGCAGGGCAGCCTTCATCCCTATTTAAAATAAACTAAAGAACAGGAAGGTTAAATTCAAGTTGTGCTATCTGATGCTGTTGAAGTTATTGTTTCAAAATTAAAAATAAAATAGAAAACAACCACAAGTCCCTCTACAATGATAATGCAAAAGCCACTGATACGTCCGAGTAGGTTGTTGAAGAGGCTAAGAAAACAAAACAAACCCAGGTACTATTGCAAATGGCTCTGTTCTAATTGTACAAGATTAAGGGATTTGCTATATTTCAAAACCTAGCTTTGGTTCAAATAATCGCTTATCTATATATTTATATAAATAGTGTGGAAGTGTATGTTTGTGTAAATACAGGAAAAATAACATATCTGAGGTGATATCCCTAAACAACTTATCTAGCATTGTATGACAGTATATTTTTGGGGAGGGTTCCAGGGCCAGCTCCGGGCACCAGCTTAACAAGCAGGTGCTTGGGGCGGCCAAGGGAGAGGGGCGGCACCTGCGGCAATTCGAGGGCGGCAGGTCCCTCACTCCCTCTAGGAGCGAAGGACCTGCCGCTGAACTGCCGCCGCCGATCGCGGCTTTTTTTTTTTTTCCCAATTGCCGCCACCGGTCACGATTGTGATCGCGGCTTTTTTTTTTTGCTTGGGGCGGCAGAAATGCTGGAGCCGGCCCTGGGGGGTTCATACGTTCATCCTCCTGCCCTTCCAAGGAGATGCCTAACCCAGATTCACATAGACACCCAAGTATATGGTTGCAGAAATATTAGGATTAGCCTATTATACTACTTCTGTATAATATTTGCAAATGGCAAATAAAATGGAAGATTTATTAGAGTTAACCTAGCACCTTCATAGCATTCTGGCCTTTTTGCCATCTATTCTGATATTAAGCCAATACAGCTGATATTCTGGGCACCTGTTACTAACTAATTTATCCATTTATTTGTACTTACTTCACTTCCTACTTTATTTTTTCATTTAATTTAGCGCTAAGGTTGAACCAATTTTTTACATGGTTCTTTTTGTTCCTTTCTCACTTCATTCTCTTCCTAGCATGATTTGGTCTCTTCTCTTTCTGCCAGGTTACCTTTCCTGTGAGGGATACTGCTTTGTTTTTACTGGGGTGTGGTACATTATAGGCTGAAATGGCTTGTAAAATTAAGTAGTCGGTATGACGTGCATGACAAAGCCCTGTTAAGGCTGGAAATTCAGAAATCTGGAGAGTTTCTTTAAATGACAAAACACTAATTTGTATATTTGGTGAATATGTATCACCTTATTTACATAACTGACGAGAGCGAACTAGTGAGCAGAACTAAGGCCTGACAAGTTTGCAGCATTGAATAAGCTGTAGGATTGCCATGGTCCTGCCTGACTCTGTCATCTCTTTGGACTGGCATCCAGGTAACTCTGACCCTGGCTACTACTTGGCCTTGGCAGGGAACTATGACTGGTTGGTGCCTCTGGGGGTGGCTGGGAGATCTGTCTGTTTCCTGATGGGGATGCTGTGGCTGAGCTGATAGCCCCTAGCTGGGGGCTGAGTTCTGGATGTGGCTTGCCCCATGCTCCCTTGCTTTAATCAACTTTTGCTGGTCTTTGTTGCAAAGGCTGTCTAATCGCCAGTCTAGACCCCAGTGTGTATTCCACTTTATGCCTATCTGCCTATGGCCCCATTACAGCAGCCAATGATCACCAGGGTTTCGAGATACACTAACCCCACTCCCTTCCATTAGACTCAACCCCTATATGGGTGTCTGGGAAGTAAAGTAGCATAGGAGCTGTTACAGCACCCTTACACCATGTGAGGTTTTATTTATGTGGGAGGGATCTTCCATGGACAAGTTAAGCTTTTTCAGGTTGCTTTACAATGAAACAGCCTTAACAAATCAGAGAATCTGAGCCGCTCTCTCTGCAGTTATATGACATTGTCATTGAAAAAGTGCTTCCTAGAGGTATCTTTTCCTTTGAAACTCCTATTTTTAAACTTGATGACATGTAGAAAGTGTCCTTGCAGTAATTATCACTTGTAGTGAGTTAGGAACAGGAGATTGAGGCTGAGATCCTGCTTTATTTGGACTCTCACTTTTCATCATTAACTCTTTTGGACGTGTAGTACAAAACTGACAACCTGCTGCCAAAGGACACTGGTGAAAATGTTTTTAAAAAGGAATGTCAGTAATAAAACAGATTCTGGAGAGACAATGGAGGCAGTGCCACTTTTTATTTTAACACACACATTATGGAAGTGTCCCAAATGCTCATTTCTGGTTACTGACCAGTTACGGCCAGGAGGCTAGAGGCTTGCTGTTCTCAGTTATCAAGAGGATGCTGAAGGAAGCAGAAACAGTAAGTGCCTGAGTCTCTGAGCATCATCCTCCATAATCATACATTTAAAAAATAAAAGCAAAAGAGGGACTTCAGACACTATCAATTTGGCTTACTGTGGAAATGTTCCGTCTAAACTTCCATTTGTCAACTCAAATCAAGCTTCCAGGTACACTGAAATTGGCAACCTTTTGTGGATTATTTTAAGAAAGAGTAGACAGATTATCCAAATCCTGAGATTACTTCTGTGTAACTGTTCTGCCAGTTTTTCCAAAGAGTAATTAGGCCTGAGTTCAGAAGACAGAAAAATGTGGCCTTGGTCACAACTGTGTCCTGAGTTAGCAACGAAAGAAAAATCATCGGATATAAGTAAATAGCAAGGGGATTTTAGAAGTTAGTTATGCCATGCTCTGATTAAAGTAACAGTTAAATAAGAGAAAACAGATTACTATGGGGAAAGCTGTCAGTGGCTGTGGGATGAGATAATGTTGTCTGAAAGACTTATGCTTTAGTCTAGGTTGAGGAGAGTTATATAAATGTTAATGGACTAAATTCAGCAGGGGAGACGCTATTGTGTGGGGAAGGCCTGTTCTGACACCTAACTGTGGCTTAATTATATTGTCATCTTTTTGGGTCAGTAGATACTCTTGAAACTCCCAACTGCACCTTGGGATTCCATAATTTTTTAAAAAATACTATGAATGCAGAAGAAAAGAGAGAAACTTACTCCACTCTGTAATGAACTAAGGACACAGCATTGTCCACATGCTGATACAAAAAAATACCTCCATGTCTAGATTCTTCGACTGATTTTCTTATGAACATGGTTTCTTTAAGATGCTATCAGACCCATTCTGGTATTGGGGCAATCCCTGTAAATTGTTTTCATAGTCAAGAAAAATTGTTCTTTGGGGAAGTGCCTGACCTGCAGCACTCAATAAGAAGCATGGACCAGAAAGGTGCATGCTCTCAAAAGATGCATTGCACATGCACCTTTTGCATTCTGTGGATAGCCAGATTTGTCGTCTTTTCAATAAAGACGAGCAGTGACCAGAAATTGGGGAAGCTTTGGACACTTCCAAAGAATATGTGTTAAATATACATAAGGGATTCTAATCGCATTGCTTAATGTGCTTCCAGAAGTTGCTCAGGTACTATGGTAATGAGGACTGTATAAGAACCTGAATAGAACTGAATTAAGACGCTGACTGCAGTCACTGTCTGGTTTTGGAAAGTCCTGGTGACTGAAGAGTGGGATGAACAGGTGATCAAACATTACAATACCTCAATAAAATGGCTTTCCCAAAGATTTAAAAATACTCCACCCCACTGCAAGTAAAGTAAAGTGTAATCAACAGTCTGAGCAATAATAAGAAATGTAATGCATACACACTTAAATACATCCTTAATTGTACCCATGTTTTAAGAGTAATCCTGCAGTCTTAATCCAACTGTACGTTAGAGGTATCTGTACGTACAGTAAAGTCAAGTAAAACAAATACCACTGGTGCACAAGATCAGTGATCTAACTTGCTTAGTAACTTAGTGTAAAGATGCCATTGTAATTTGTTGGCTGCTCATCTTTCTCCTTTGTTGACTGTCCCCTGTAGTCATTGACTTACAATGTATGTTAGTTTATGGCTGGGAGACAAGAAAGGAGATCACTTTGTATTACTTTCAATAGTTTACCATTAGTTTCTCTTCTCCCCCACCCCCGAACCTCTTATCTAGATCTTACTTCTCTTTTCTACCTTTTTCCCTTACAAATGACATACAAGTTGTGCTCATCCCACCTAAACCTCATGAGGGACCTAATCCTGAGGTCTTTAAAATTCCCATTGAAATCCACAGGAGTTGGCCTGAGTAAGGACTAAGGCCCTGATCTTCAAAAGATATTTAGATGCTTAACTCCCATTGATTCCAAAGGGAGTTGGCTCCTAAACACCTTTGAGAATCTGGGTGCAAAGGCCCAATTACACTACCCTTACTCATTTTGAGTAATATCTTATTCTCAAAGTAATCACTGAGTAAACTACCACACAAACTGAATAAGAGTGACAGAATTAGGCCCTATGTAAATAATGTGGCACATTCTGCCACTTTTACTCATGCTGAGCACAAATGAAGACCCTGATCATATAAACACGTACATGTATGATTAATTGTACACAATGAGACTACGCATGTGAGTCATGTTAAGCACATGTTTAAGCATTTGCAAACCAAGAGATTTAATCTGATTACTTTGCATATAGCCCCATTGATGGCACATGACTCTCAGCAAGGATCTCATGATTTGGGCCACCATGCCTGGTTAAATGTGTTAATATTTACATTTTACTCTCACCTATAATGCTGTAAGACATAATATAAAATAATGTAATGAATTTAGCTTTATTTTGCTTCCCTTCCATTTTATTTTAATCACCAAGAACACAAAACACTGATGAGAGTGTGACAAATGTACATTGTATACCTTCAACTTTGCCACCTGGGAAAAAAGAAATGTCAGGGATGCCGTTTAGCTTAAATTGAATCTTTTGTATGCATGCCTATTGGGTTCAAGAATTTGATAGTTTTGTATGGATCTGAATTAAAAAGCAACAAAAACACATTTGCAAAAGACAATGAACATGGTGTTTCATGAACCTGAAGTGTGGGACTGTGCATTGGATAAAACTAATATAATCCAATTCCTCTGAGAAAATGTTTGGAGAAAAGTATGTGTATACCCACCATTCATTTTTAGACATATTAATAAGGCCAAACTTTCTAGCCACTCAGCTACAAGAGTGTTCACTTCAGGAATGAATACAACAGCAAAGAACCCATAAGGTTTCAGACTGCTGCAGAAGTAACCCATTCAAACACTAATGGCATTTTATTTCCAGATGACTGTTAACTATGACCCCGTATAATCTTTAAAGCAAAGCCGTGTGTCATTATTGGATTTGCCTAAGATACTATTTTAATATTTGGATGAAACTTATACAGCAGCTACTACAGCTGTTTGATTTTATTATTAAACCTGCTCCATTAATATGCATGTTGACTGAATAACTGCCTATAAGCCTTTTAAAATATGCTTCTAATCACATCAGCATTAAATATTAAACAGGAACTTGTCTCTACCATTTCCTTGTATTCTCTCTTTCTTAGCTTATCTGTACATGTGTGTCTGGGCGAGCAGTTATTTTTGCTGATAACTTCATTTATCCTAAAGAAACAATTTTTTTGCTATTGTTATTTACTTAGAATTCTCCCACCATGGAAAAGGTGATACTCAACAGATGCAGGTTTGAACGTGTTGCTTCTAGTAAACATTTTGCCTCAAGGTTTTTTGTCCTATCTTTTCTTTCTCTCTCTCTCTAGGGAATTTTTGTTCTAGGATTGCCATATGCTCTTCTCCACAGTGGATACAGTGGGCTGTTTCTTATTATCCTGGCTGCAATGTTCTGCTGCTATACTGGCAAAATTCTAATCGCTTGCTTGTACGAAGAAAATGAAGATGGGCACCTCATAAGAGTGAGAGACACATATGAAGACATTGCTAATGCCTGCTGTAAAAAGCGATTTCCCAAACTAGGTGGCATAGTTGTCAATGTGACCCAGGTGATGGAACTGATCATGACGTGCATTTTGTATCTGGTTGTTAGTGGGAACTTGCTGTCACATAGTTTTCCATATTTACCAGTGACGGAGAAAACTTGGTCTGTAATTGCGTTTGTAACATTGCTGCCTTGTGTGTTTATCAAAACTCTCAGCATTGTTTCCAAACTCAGCCTGCTTTGCTCCTTAGTCCATTTCATTATCATCTTCATAGTGATGAGTTACTGTCTAACACAAATACATCAGTGGTCTTGGACAAGATTTAGACTCTCCATTGAGTTTGAGGATTTCCTGGTGTCAGTGGGGGTGATCATTTTCAGTTACACTTCACAAATATTTCTTCCTACTCTTGAAGGGAACATGAAAAACCCAAAGGAATTTAGCTGTATGTTGAACTGGACTCACTTTTTTGCTTGTCTCTTCAAGACAGCCTTTGCACTGACTGCATTCCTGACCTGGGGTGAAGAGACAAAGGAAGTTATTACTGACAACCTGCCAGCATCCCTGAAAACCCTGGTGAATTTGTGCTTCTTAGCCAAGGCTCTTCTGTCTTACCCATTGCCCTTTTTTGCAGTCACAGAAATACTGCATGCTTGCATATCTAGCAGTAATCATTCTGATTACAGAGCCCCTCTGTTTATTGTAGTTTTAAGAGGCTTGGCCCTCTTGTTTACTCTGCTGATGGCCATGTTCATACCACATTTTGCTCTGCTGATGGGTTTAACAGGCAGTGTAACAGGTGCTGCTATGACTTTTCTTCTTCCTTCTCTTTTCCACTTAAAACTTAAATGGGGAACGTTAGTGTTCCTGGAGAAAGGTGCAGCCATTTCTCTTTTTATTGTGGGTTTCCTTTGCAGCTTAGCGGGTATAGTCTGCTCAATAAAAGGGCTGATTGAAGCAGTTGGAGGAATGTAGAAAGGCCATCTTGAAAATCTGATCATATACTCTTGAGTATTACCACTGTGAATGCAATTCCAAAATTAATATATGATACAGCAGAGACTTTCAAGTTTGTTTTACTATAAGAACTATTACTTGTTTTTAAAATGAGTAAAGAAAGAAAAACAACTTGGTTTACAATTAAAATATTTTGTCATTGAATTGAAATGGGAGTTTCATTTGCTCTCACATTCAACATTAACAGTGCTATAACAAGAAAAACAGAAGCACTTTTAATAGACCATTCCCACTTTTAATTCACAGTTATTTGTGAGTATATCTGTTCTTAAAGGAACTATAACTAATCAGTGCAGTTTTCCTGGAAGTCAGTTTCTAAGATTCATTCTCCTGCAATGCAATTATCCTATTGGTTTGATTACAAGATGTCTTACTATTAGAATGAAAAAGTTAATCTGCAGTTCACTTTCTGTATTAGGCAGAAAATTTCTTTGATCTTTTTATTTTATCTGACTAAATTAAAAGCTGAAATGAAGTAAATCAAGTTCAACAAACAGACACACAGTTAACATCCTGTATAACTTGCCTTCGTCTTTAATTTTAAAAGATATTAGCTTAATAAAGAGATCAGCTTCGCAATGTATTTCACTTTAGTGAAAAGTCACCATGATAGGAAGCAATCTAGTCAGGGTACTTTAAAGAATACATATTTTATTATACTAAAGCTATGCTAAGTTAGGAATTAAAGTAATTATTTGAAAGAAGAAAATTAAAATTTTCATTATGAACAGCTTCATGCAACCCTTTACTGAGTCATATGAAGGAGAATCTGATCCAACCATATGTTGGCATGCACAAAGTGGAAACCTCAATAATAACTGTTTAACTGCAATATTTTTCTTTATAATATCTTAGCAGCAATGCTACTGGCCTGCAGGAGCGACAGTGGCTTCTCAAGGCTAACCTGTTCAATGATAAACCAAGTACAATTAAACTTAAGTGATCAACACTAATGATAAGACCAAGTATGTCAGTCTGTTTCTTTGTATTCTTTCTGGTAATTAATGGAATAACGTACACTTGTCAAGTTTTGGGCATTAAATATAGGACATTAATGAAGTATGAAAACAAAATTGCTATACATTAACAAAAACCCCAGCACAAGCAAGAAAGCAACTAGAGTCTTCTAGCATTTGTGTACTCTCTTAAAAACTATGGGTCAAATTCTGCTCTCATTTGCTCCACATTTACACCAATTTAATTCCATTGACTTCAGTTGAGTTATTCTGTATTGATGGAGGTGTAAATAGGAGCATATTTGTTCCTATCTACTTTTAAAAAGTATAGTCTTTTTATTTTTATGTAGAATGACAAAAAAAAAGTGCTGCTTACTGAAGTAGTTGAAAGGTTATTATTACCCCCAATGACATAGACAAAAGGATATTATCCCTTGGATGATGTCAGTGAAAGGGTATCATTACTTTTTTATGTGGAGAACATTCTCAAATAAGTAAACATGCAAGAACGGTATTAGTTATATTTTATCCTTTATGTGTCTGAGGACATAAGAAAGTAGTTTGAAGTGTTGCATAAGAATTCTTGAGCTTAGTTTATTCAACAAATCTCCAAACCAAATTGCCCAGGTTCTTTTTTTTTTTTTTTTCTTATCCCATTTTCTTTTATTGCTTTCTGTCTTGTATTCTTCAGAGATTTCTTAGAGTTGCCTCAGTGAATGTATCACTGGGAAGTCTTCAAATGAATTTGAATATTTTAACTGGTTGGAAAGTAGTAAGATTAAAAAAAAAATTACAAAACAAAACCCTCAGTTTTTCTCAAAAGATTTTGCAAACACTTTGAAATGTTTTTAGTTTTTGGACAAAATGCCCCCCAAAATGATTTTGGTTTTGTTTTTTTTCTAAACTGAAAATGGAAATATTATGGTTTTCAGTTTTTTGGTTTTTCAGTCGCTGTTTGTGTCCCCTCCCTTACTCCTATGTTGCCACTGAAAATGTGTAGAAAAAAAAGAGGAGAAAAAAAACCACCCTGAAAAACCAATACACACAAACTTTTCAATTTCAAAAAGAAAAAGTTATCTTGGTACTTACAGGGTCTATCACCATATAGTTATGGATATGGGATATGGATACACTGTATATGTCTGTGAAATGACTAACATACCTTTGGGCACTGAATAAATAATACTAATAACTAAAAGCACTGCAGCTAGAGAAAATGAATAAACAAACAGACAGACTTACTTGGTGTTCCAGTCCACTACCCTGCTAGTGTTTTATTAAAACTTGTTTTAAGAGCCAACGATCAGCATTAACTGGAACATCCATCAGAGTAAGTGAGGAGAATCAAATTGCACATAAATACAGTCTTGAAAGGAAATATCTACCAACCCTTTTCCTCCTTTTCTAACTGCACTTCGCAGCATCTGTCTGGTAGCAAGATTCCAAGTTCCCTTCAGTGATGATATCATTAGTACCACCTAAAACAGTGTCTCCCTGTTAATTCTGAGGTGGTTGTGGCATCATCAGCGGGTTTAAGGGAAACACAGAGCCCTGAACTCTGCACTTGGCACATATATATCCTAGTTGGGGAAGATACTTAAGCACACTCAAGCCACTGGGACTACTCACATGCTTAAAGTTAGGCATTTGTTTAAGTACCTTCCAGAACTGGAGCTATAAATAGGAACAGCTTCCAAACATTTATTTTGACTCTGTAAGTGTATTTTAATGTTTAAATTTACACATAGGGTGAAAGCCAGGACCCATTGAAGTCAATGAGAGGTTTGTCATTGACTTCAGTGGAGCCAGGATCACACCTACAATTTGTTAATGATGTTCTGTAACAAAAACTTTGCAGTCCATTTTAAATCACTTCCCTTCCTAACTGGGAATTGTTTTCCCCACCACTATATTTCTTTCTCCTCTTTCAGCAATGAGATATGTGTTCCCTGCTGCTGCTAGTGATAACAGAACATCAGCGATAGATCAGGAAAGGGTATTAAAAGACAGTTGTTGAGGCCAGAACCACTTTATTATCTGTTCACCCCTGATAATGCATTTCGCTTTTCATTCTCTGAAGTGAATTCTGAATCACCCATACAAAATTCATTCTACACTAATCAGTTACTCTGAAAAAGTGCATAAAAAGTGTGTGGAGTAGGAGGAAATAAGGTATGTTGTCTGTGCTTTAAAGACTAGTCTGCTACTAAATCAAATTTCAATATTCAGTACTCCCATTCAGGAACTATAAAACTTTAAAAACTGGTGACTGATTGCTGAAAATCATTTACCCTGTTCTTCTGCATTATTATTAATAACTGGATGATCTGTCGCTGCTAGAAAATGTTTAATCTTCCAAATTTCAGTTGAAAAGGAAATGAAGCTCAAAAAAATATTCTGATGGTATTTCAAGATTTACAGTCCTAGGAGCTCACATGGGAAATAAAATGTTAGGAAATTGACTGTGTCCTGTAGTAGTTTGTCATGTATTTGAAAACACACCATTTGAAAACTTTTAAGTATTGTTGTCCACTGTTTAGCTATCTGTAGCTACTTGTGAGCTATCCATCTAGGGTATGTCTATGGCCCACATTGCTGTAGTGCCTGAGCACCTCAGTCTTTTGACAGAATCGTAAAAATAATGTATTTATCCTCACAATACCTCTGTGAAGTACGGATTATTATCCCCATTTTACAGATGAGGGTGCAAAACACGGAGAGATTCTAAGACTTGCCAATACTCTGTGGTGGAGCAAGAAATTCAACATCCCAGGTTCCATGGGTTTCTAATGCACTAACCAATAGACTATCCTTTATTCCGGTGGTGGGGTTCTAACATCAGAGGCAGCTCCCCTTCCTTCCTCCTTCTCCTCTGCCAATTTATGTCCTCCTGAGATTATGGTATATAATATGGTGGACTATATAGGAGGTTAGTCCACACCACTTATGCTAATGTTGCCCTTCCTACTCAAGCTTTTCTTTTCTTGAAGAAATGAATACAAGAGGAGGGGGGAGGAAGGATATTTTAAAGGGAAATAGGGAAGAGAGGGGAAGAGGAAAGGAGGAGCAGAAAGAAAGATGGAGAGGAAATGGAAGCTAGAGGAAATAAAGGAAAAAAGGAGATGGATAAGAACACAGAGACAGGGAAATGGTAGAATAAAGATGATGAATGGGAGAAAAGGAGGAACCAAGAAGTGAAAGGAAGGGGAGGACAGACAGAGGGAACAAGGAGGGAAACAGAAGGGCAGAAAGGGGAAAGGAAGGGAAGAGAAAAATGTCAACAGAAGATGAGAGAGAAGAAGAAGGTAAGGAAGAAGGGGGGCTGCCTTCAATGTTAGAATCCCACCACCCTAAGAAATTTGTCACAAGTACCTGCTAGTAGTAATTCAAGCTCTGCTGTCAGGTGCAAGCTATTTCCTGTATGTGAGCAGTTCTCCATTTGTTCAGTCCCCCAAAGCACTCTCAAGCTTGGGACTTTTAAAATAAAATCCTTGCTAGCTCTTTGAGTTGATCTCTATGTTTAATGCTTTCTGTTTTCCAAAGGCTTTTGACAAACTGCTAAATAAAAATGTTCTAAAAATCTATATTTCTCTTCAGTCTATTCTATATCCCTTCCTCCGAGTGCTCTTCCCTCTCCTCCACACTATTATAAGTTCACAAATACCCACTGGGCCGAATTCATTGTTTTCCTGATGCACCATAGACAGCACAAAAGGACCATAAAGCAGGAATAAAGCCCTTGCAGTGAGGCCACTGGTGCAGGGAACCTCTCTTAGCTGGGTGCAGAGCCAGCACTGCACCCCCCTGAAATCCCTGGACTCAGAGAGTGTTCTGGCCAGGCCAGGTGCATGTTGGGTGTGAATGTGGTGGTCCTATTTCTCAGGTGGCACAACATCTGTAAGGGCCATGGAAGCCAGGGAACAAATTAGAGCAGCCCCTAGGGTTGTCCTAACATGAACCAAGTACTGAACTAGTCCCTAGAAGCCTCATAATCAAGGCTGC